CGTGGACCGGAAGCCAAGCCTGGAACCCAGCCACCCACCCCCGACACCCCCAGGCCCAACATTTGGGGGTAGTCGCACCCCTAGCACGTCGGACATGGGTGAGGATGGCCGGGTGGCCAGTGGAGGTGCCCCAGGATTGGAGACCTCAGAGTCCCTCAGTGACTCTCTCTATGACTCACTCTCCTCCTGTGGGAGTCAGGGCTGAGGCCTGTGCCACACAACAACTCCTCCCTGGAGCTGGGGGCCACAGACTGGACTGACTACAGGCTGTTTTTCACGGTCAGTGGGGCCCCTCCCTGAAGGGACCAAGGAGGCAGGTGGATAAGGAGGTGAAGGGAGTCCCTGGCATACCCCGCTGCTCATCGCTGCTGTGGACAAAATGACCACTCTCAGCTCAGGGAGAGACCTCATCCTTGGCCCCTTCTCTCACCCCAGAGTAAGGCTCTTCAGAGGGGTTGGGGGCCCACAGCTGCTGCGCCCCTTCCCCCTGGCTTCCACTCTAGGCTGAGCCATCTTGTGGTGCTGGGCTTCTTGCCCGCCGGCTGTGCCATCTTTGCCCAACCCGGCTGCACCCCCACCCAAAGCCCCCACGGGCCAGACCAAGGCCCCAGTGCCGGTGGAGTTTGCGGTGAGGGGACCAGTTGCCTTCTCTCTCTGTCTGCCCTGATCCTCCCTGCTGTCTGGATGGTGCTGCCCTCCCCTGCCCCATGTCTTTGGGGTTCATTTGTCTGTCTTTTTTGTTTTGTTTATATATATATATATGTTAAAGCTCCTGCCCCAGTCCTCTCCCCACAACCCCACACTGCGGTTAATTTATCTGTTGTTAAAAACATGGCTGCTCTGCTTCCGGCCTCTGCTTCTGCCGAATCCCTAATAAAACATGGCGGCCCCTCCCTGCCCCCGACTTGGCTTGTTCTGTGAGACAACTCAGGATGGACAGATCAGCAGGATAGGGAACCTGGACTCTACCCTAGATACCTTGGTGAGGCAGCCTTTCTCCCCCTAAGACTGCTCGGTGAAGGCACCCTAATACGTAACTGTGGAGTAGGGAAATGCACCTGGAGTAATTAGCTGGGGTTCAGGATACGCCCATGGCCCATGGCTTGGGGCAGACTGAGGCTGTGCTGGCTCTAGGGATGGAGGTGGCAAAGATGACTGAGTCTAAACCTGAAGACCTGTACATAACAGGTGGGGTGGGACAGGTGAGACCCTGAGCTACAGAGTGAAAGTGAGTAATGTGTCTGTAACTTCACTTACTACATGGCAAGGCATGAATCAGTTTCAGGCTGTTGCTGCCCTCTTAACTCCTCAAACTCCAGACTTTGCTTAGATCCTAGTATACCAGATTCCAACCATAAATTCCTATGGCTATGCAGTTCTACAGTTAGAAAGTGGAGGCTGTAATGAGGCCGTGGGAGGGTCTCAGTTTTTTCAGACCTTCCTCATGCATACCCCAGAATAGATGTGTCTTTACAGCCCTTGCGCTGGGAAGGTCTGTGTCCACTGGCTTGCAAGATGTGCCCACCCAAGGCAGTTCTTGCTGCATCTGCGTGACTAACAGCTCTGATGCCCATCTGAATAGCAAGCACTCTCAGGACCCTGGTCATGCAGCTGGGACTCTGGACACTGCAGTCATGGTGGGAGTAAGAGGTAGGGGCTCTGTAGTGGACAAGAGTGTGCCTCAGAACCACAGGTGCAGGCTCCTGGATAGAGAGTAATGTTAGACCCATTCAAAATTGTTACACCACTGGAGTCCAGCCCAGAAAGGTTGAAGAGAGGGAATATGACAGTGCTGCTTCCAATAATGTCTCTCCCGCTACCTGTGCTCTTCAAGGGCGGTGACGTAACTGTCACATGTCGCCTACCCTCATGCATCCGAATCCCACGTAGCCCTGCCAGAGACGGCAGCGCCCTCATTTTACAAAAGAAATTGAGGGACAGAGTCAGTGATTGCCCAAGGCCCACAAAGTGGTGGCCACTGATGGGGTAGTCTTAGACACACACACTCTCTCGTGGCGTTTCTTATAGAAATTATTTGGGGAGTGGAGGAGGCAAAGAATATCACACAGTGCAGATCCAGGTTTGGTCCTGAAATCTCAAAGCCAGAGTAACAAGGCACAATTCCTCAATTAGGGAAAGTTCAGGTAAAGTTCAGCAGCACAAATGCACATCTGGTTTTCTCAGTCATCCAGCCAGCAAGACCTTTAACTGTGGCTTCATTTCCATGGTTCCTCTGGTTACACCTTGCCACAGTCTCCTCACCCTCTCTCCACCACCATTTTCACAATGTAAAAAGTGCTCTCTTAATATTTGGTCCCACAGCCATTGATGATTTGCAGGTAGCTGGAAACCAGGTCCCCAGAAAAGGATAATGCAATGGATAGAAATGCCAGTTTTCAGGGTTACTGACATCAAAGACCACTCCCTGGCTTCTCTAGCTATTACTTTTCATTTGAAGGATCAATAATACTCCTTTTACCACCATCTATATTCATGGAAGTATGTAAGTCAGCTACTTACTTTCTTATGTCTTAATCCCTCCATTTGTCATTATTTTTATTTGCCCAGCCCTATGAAACAAATCTGCTGTCAGGGACTTCTCCAGAGTACTGAGAAACAACAATGTCAGTCTAGAGACTAGGTTGAGCCTGATTCATGACATGTTCTTCATAGTTATTTGCTATGCAACAGAGAGCTGGATAAGGATGATAGAAGAAGAATCAATGCCTTTGAGTTGTGGTGCTGGAGAAGAAAGAATCTTGACCATATCGTGGACTGCCAAGAAAAATAAGTCTGTCTTAGAGAGAGTGAAACCAAGTTTCTCCTTCGAGGCTAGGGTTTTGAAGTTCCATTTCATATACTTTGGACATGTGGCCAGGAGGGCCCAATCCTTGTAGAACATCATGCTCGGGATGGTGGAGGGAAGTACAGGAGAAGAAGACCCCGGATGAGATGGGGTACTGGATACAGTGACTAGGGCAAGGAGGGTAGGTGAATCAGTCAGTGAGACTGGCTCAGGATAGGGCAGGCTTCAGAACTATTGTACATAGGGTCACTATGAGTCACAGGCGACTTGATGGCACATACCAATGACAGCAACAATATCATTAAAGAAAATAACAAGAGCACTGGTGTAGTCCATATAACTTGTCCCGCTAACATCCTAGTCAGTGGTTCAAATCCACCAGCAGCTCTGAGGTAGACGACCATCCAGTCTCCTCCAGGTAAGATTTACAGCAACTGTGTTTGTGAGCACTTGGTTTTGTTTAAATGTCAGCAACAATATTTTACCTCTTCTGCTCTTGGATCCCCTGATGACACAAATGGTTTTAAATCACTACTAACTAACAGATTGTTGCTTCTATGGACCCAGAGGTGCCACAGAATAAAAATGTCTGGATAAGAGAAATCACAACCCTTCAAAGTATGCAGTTCTTCTCTGATATATATGGGATTATCATGAATCCGATTCGACTTGATGGGCAACTGACAGCTTCCACTTCCAGATCTCTGTTCCCGTTTTGTGGGCATGAATGTGCTATTGCTACGCTTCTTATCTCTGCCTGCCCTTGCTATGGTTTTTGAAGCCCTTTACGCTGTTTGAACTTGAAGGATTATCTCATTTCCTGTTAGAGCAGAATCGTTTGCCTGCAGGATATTTATCCTGTTTCCCTTCCAGAAGAATCTTGGATGGTGGCTTTGACTCTCAACCTCCACCTCTTACACTGAGACCAATGGGTCAGTCTGTGTTCCTGGCACCAGTGACCAGTCGTCTGCAGCCTGGCTCTGATTTCTGATGTTTGCTCGTGCATAATAACATGATGGTCCCTAGAGTAGTGCAGATTGGCTGGGGAAACAAATGTCCTGATGTCAGTCATCAGGATAACTCCAGCCATACCAAGGGCACAGAGCCAACCGTTCCCCACCAACAGTTCCAAGATAGTAACTCTCCCTCCTAATTATCTCGACAGTAAGAGGGGGGAGTGCAGCTGGGTCCAGACATGCAGCACAGCAGCCCACAAAGCTGTATGTGCCCTTCATGTAAATGTAGAGCAGACGGAATAGTCCACCTAAAATAACTCTAGAGGGGGACATGGAATTTTAAAACAACCTTGGGAAACCGCTTTTTCCTTGCAACTTTTGAAAGGGTTTGTCTTGAAGACCACTTTTTCTTCACCATGACAGATACAGGGCAAACTCTCTCTGTAAAATTAGTGACTTCACTGTTCTCTAAAACCATTGAGTAAATGATTGTATTACTAGTGGATATGACTCCTTGACAGAAGAAGAATCTATGCCTTTGAGTTGTGGTGCTGGAGAAGAGCATTGGATATATCATGGACACCAAGAGAACAGACAGATCTGTCTTGGAGAGGGCAAAACCAAACTTCTCCTTGGAGGCAGAGATTTTTAAACTCTCACATACTTTGGGTATGTGGCCAAGAGAGACCGGTCTTTGAAGAAGGAACTTATGCTTGAAAGGGTGGAGGGACAATGCAGGAAAGGAAGACCCTGGATCAGATGGATTGATACCTTGGGGCGATGGGGGTAAGTGTGTTGGAGTCACTGAGACTTAATTCAGGACAGAACAGGGTTCAGAGCTATTGTACATAGGGTCACTATGAGTCAATCAATTCGATGGAATAAAACAACAACAACAATGACCCCTTTTTCTGAGTATTCCACACATAGAAAGCAAAAACGGCTAGAACCACTACTATCCCTCCACCACCTTCCCCAGCCAGCCACACGCAGCTCCGCCACGGCAGTAAGATGTCAGCCAAACACTGAAAACAAATTCTGCTTTCCTGGGCACCTTGTCTTCTGCAGGAAATGTGTCCAAATGCTAATTCGGGTGGGGGGAGAGTTGTTTCTGGGTGACCACTGAGTTTTATTTTCTACTTTACCCTCTCATGGATTTTATACAAATTATATGTTTTGATTTTCAGAATATACCATTATGCTTTGTAGCAAGCACTCATTGTGTAATCACATGTGAATTATATAAATGGTTTTTTAAGACAGAAATATGAAGTAAATAGAGACAAGTATATCTGTGATGTTGAGGGAGAACTTTAGGAATTTTCTTCATCATTAAGAACAAATTATACAAAACAACTATGAGATATCATCTCACCCCAATAAGAATAGCAAAATTTAACAGAACAGCAAGCAACAGATGCTGGCGAGGTTGCAGAGAGACTG